AGTGCTCGTTTTTCTTCGTCATGCCGTTTCTCCTTCGTTCGGACTCCGAATCATGCGATTCTTGAGTCCATCTTGATTAGTTTTTCGTTGTCCTTCCAGCGGTGTGCTCGGTGGCACCCGAATCTACAATTTTTTGAAATGACTATTTTGCCCCTAGGGACTTATTTGTCATATTTTCGATCTTTTGCTTCCGTATCAGTTCTTGTTGAGTTCCACGACCTCATGGAAGGTCACTTTGACTTCTTAGAGTCTTGTTTTCTGTTTTTGCTTCCGCATTCGGATCCGTTATCGGATCATCCTTACAGTTCATCATAGGACACGCTGGCCTAAAAACCAGGGTCGTCACATTAGGGGTGTATTCTAACACCTAATGCCCTAAGATCGTCTGGTCTGGGAGTTATTGGCTGAAAGCTTGTTACACAAGGGGTTTAAGTTGCCTAGATTACTTGAACAATTAAGTCCTTAGGGGTGTTTCAACACTTTACGCCTTAAGATCATCTGGTCTAGGAATCGTTGGCTAAAAGTTCGTTACAGGGGTGATTTAGAAAGCTTAATAGACCTGAGCATTGCACATATCCTTTTTGAAAAAATGTATACCTATGAAGAACAAAAATGCCTTGGGAGTTGAAATTTGAAAAGTTTGTCTATGAATTGAGGAATAACAAGGAATGAATGTAAGTATGGACAGTAAGCCACACGTTGAATTGTAGGTTCACTATCAGTAAGTGTTTCAGAGATTAAGATTGTTGAATAAATGATTAAACTGATATGTGGGGACTATGGTTGCTTAATTGAAATTGAAAGTTAAAAGTGGTTTTGATTACATGATTGGTATACTTGCTGTATTTAACTGATTAATGAACTACAGAGATAATATGATTTGAAAACAGGCTTGAATTAACTTGATGTGCCATAAGGCACTGACATAAGAAGTTTGTGGGTATCTTCACTGGAAACCCTCACGAGACTATAATTCGTCCACTAGGGGTTTAAAGCTAAATGCAACCGTGATTCCTACAAAAGTGGTTTTTTAGTTCTGTATTGCTAAGGGACTAGCAATATGTAAGTTTGGGGGTATGATGAGCGCTGAATATATGCATATTCGAGCCCCTAAATACATATTTGTTAAGGTCTAAAGTGATACTTCTATCCATAGTTAGATTAATTTGTGTTTAATGTATGTTTGTAGGTACTTTCCTGGAGAAATGGTTAAAACCGAGACTTTATGATGATATTGAAGCTTATAGAGTCGTTGCCGGTCATTTAGAGCAAGCTGAGAGCTTAAATTGTGAAGTTTGAAGATATTCAAGCCTTAGAGCTCGAGCCCAAGTGTTGAGGCTCGAGCATCACAACAAAGAAAGAAGAAAAGTCAACAAGGCTCAAAAGCTCGAGCCTCGTACCTTGAAGCTCGAGCCTTACCATAAGGTGCTCGAGCCTTAACCAAGGGTGCTCGAGCCTTGACCCTCAAGCTCGAGCATGAGGCATCAAAAATTAAAGAGTTGATTTAATTACAAGGCTATGCTCCCAGGTTTCGTGCCTCACTTCCAGGATCGAGCACCATCTATTAAGGATCAAGCACTAACAACTGAAGCTCGAGCGAGCCCGGTGTCCCAAATACTCGAGCCTTGTACCTAGTGCTCGAGCCCAAGAAGCTTGGATCGAGCAATGTTAAAAGAATCCAGTCCCAGAAATATTCTAAGTGTTAAAGAAAAAGACGCTTCGGAAAATAGTTGAAGAAAATTGGCTAAGTGTCAATGCAAAAATTGAGTACCATTCACTGAAGCTCGAGCATCCATTCAGAGATGCTCGAGCCTTGTTCCTAAAGCTCGAGCCCTGTGTTCCCGAAGCTCGAGTCTTCCATGACATGTCACATTTAAAGTATGGGATTGCTCTCTTTATCAGCCGTATCTCATCCCAGTTGGGCCAGAAAACCTAAAAGCCCACTAAATATTATTTTCTTCTATAAAAGAAGGCGTAAGCCTTGATACAAGGGGGGTCCGAAATTTCAATCTCTTTGTCGGTGCTTTCAGAAAGCTGAAGGTGTGGTGGCTTTTAGGGTTTCTACAACCTTAAGAGTAAGGATCCTGAGAAGAGAAATATCGTCCGTGACGAAGGAGATGAACTCAACACAGATGATATCTAACCTTGTCATGAGTAGCTAATTCCTCTTTTAGGGCACTGGTGTGACCTAACCTAAATACTATGGTTTAATTGTTTTAACTCTGGGATTAATTTTAATATATGTATTTTCTTGATTATAAAATTATGAGCACTTGAGACAACTCAAGTGGTTTTCATACTTTAATAGATTATAAACTATTACTACGTTATCTTAGATGTAATAGTCTGTTTTCTATTCTCAACCTACCTTGTTGTACGGTATCTGGCGGAGCCCTGCTGGACACAAGAATAGAGGTCATATAATGGTATTCCAACGTATTTTACAAAAGAATGTTTTCATAGTCTATGCTTAGGAAAGGTGGATTGTTTGCAACATAGTTAACGTAGTTAAAATTGTTAGAGTAGGTAGGCAGATAATCCACGCTAACCTCAGATAGGTTATAGTTAGCTAATTTTGTAAAACATCTTTTTTTAAAATCTGTATTGAACGAATGTTATTGAGTTCAATTCCTTTGGAAAATCTCATTATTAAATTCTCAGAATTAGTATAATTAATTATAGTATATGGTTATGGTGAAGTCAAAGCCTTAAGATTCCTCTCTCTGATCACTCAATTTATTTACTGTGCTTTTATTTGATATTTTACTTTTAATTCTAGTTTGTTAAACCGTGACAACAAACTTTCCAACCAAGTTACCTGTAAACCATAGAACAAAGTTAAAGACTAAATATAAATCTTTTCTCCCTGTGGGTTCGACATCTCTTTTTATAGCACTATTCTGTAAAGAATCGTTCTATTGTGAGTAAAATTACATAACAGCAGAATGAGAGATAAGAGAGAAATACAGTGTGAGTATTTTTCAGAGAATGAGCAAGATAACACATAGTGTATTTTTCAAGAGTGAAAGAGAGATACACGGTGCATGTGTGTGTGGGATCTGCCAATCCATATCTTGTAATTACTCAATAGATATAGTGAATTTCTAGTGCGCGCCGTGGACGTAGGCAAAATTGGCCGAACCACGTATAATTCTTGTCTTGTGTCACCGAGCATGTTATTGTGCGTATTGACGGCAAGGTTCTAAGGGAATTAGTGGCATCTAATTTCCCTAACAATTACAAGACAGCATAATGTCATATAAGCATAAGGATGATGCAATTCCGCATTATATGTATAGCCAACCGTACATACATTCAAGCCTTTGATCTTCAGCTTTGGAAGTGAAGGTACTTTAAAACTTATTGGAATTCCCTTCTCGTAAAGCTGTACCATCCTAGAACCTTCCTCCTAGGGATGTAATTGTTCGGGATTGTGGATATTTTTATACAATCTCATATTTAAGTCCGTTCACATAATCTTATAAAAATTCACTTTGACTAAAACATTCGTATCATAGTGCAATCATACCACAATACATATAGTATAAATAAAACAATATATAAAGTAATATGCTAGTAAAATATATAAAATCAATAAGAGAAGAGTAAAGAAACTTCGAACCTGTGTAATGGAGAGGCACGCAGTATGCGCTGTCCTAAAGCCTTTACAGTCTCCCTACGTATAGGTTGTGACGACTATGAAAGACTCCAAGATACAACTCCATGTCTTCTATGCACACGTTCACAGAAAAACATTTGCCAAGTCTTGTAAAGTCATGTTGCCCCAAATACTCAAAGGTAAAAAATATAATATATAGGTTGCAAAAAGAGAATAAAGAAGGGACTTATAAGCATATAAGTTCATCATTAATTACTTTATTGAAGAGACCATATATTTATAGGCTACCTCATGTCTCTAGCCAATAGACAACTCTTGTCAGACACCTTTTCATATTTATTCACACCTCTATAATATTTTAACCGTAAAATGAAATTTTAAAAACTTTATATGGTTAAAACCTAATAGTAAGTGCTAAATAGACCATATTCAGTCAGTCCCTACACCATGAAAATAATAATTTTTAGCTCGCATGGATATAAGAGAGGGAGGGAGGGAGGGAGAGAGAGAGCACCTGGACGGGAACACTACTTCAAGTATTCAGAATGTATTGAACAAGCATGAAGCATGCCTCAACATTTTCCAAGAATTCCAAATTAGACAAGCCCATATTGCTGATCATTTCTGCATCAATATTGTTTCCAATGGCTAACTTGAACAATCTCTGAATCTCGAGTAGTTTTTCACTGCCACGAATATCCCAGACAATTATTGAAGTGTAACACGTTTGGTATATTTTTTAACATTTCCAATGACGAGCAATTACGTAAAAGCAAACTCTGTAAACTCATTGGGAGCTCCGGAAGTGATTGGAGTGTATAGCAATCGTCTAATTTAAGTGATTTAAGCATAGTGAGGCACTTGATGCTCTCTGGTAGGCTACATAATGGGTTTTAATTTAGAACCAATTCTTGCAACAAGGATAGGCTGCCAAGATCTCTTGGAATGGCATCATCCGATATATTGCAGTCTGCAAGACATAACCTTGTTAACGAGCGTGGTAAAGTAGTCTGAAAAATTGATGGCTTTGAGATTTTCCCTTGGCCCTGATATCCAGTACCACAAGTGTGAAAAACATGATTTTAAGTTAGTGCTCGTTAATAGTGATTGATTTATGGCAGTTCTGTTAGTAAGGAGAAATTTCAAAGACTCCATCCTGCCCAACTCTCTAGGCAATTGGAAGAGCCTTTGAGCAACCAGTGAGAATGAGATTTTCAAGAGATTTTAGCGGCCAATTCCTGATGGAAGCTTCCTATTATTTTTGCAATCTTTAAGATCCAGTAAAACTAGTCTCCCCAATTCCCAAATGGATTCATGAAACTCAATCAAGTTTTTATGATTTATAGGAATCAAGCTCTCAAGATTCGGGACATTTGAGAAGTCAAACATAATGCTACTGAATGGCTCAGATTGAGGACTTTCAATGATCTAAGCAACTGTCAAAAGAAGTAGGAATTTAGCTATTAATAGTCCCTAAAGAAAAAGAAAAAAGATTAAAAACTCGATGGGTATTACTTCCATAGAGAACCCACACCAACACAACCATCTCAACTTCCTAGGAAATTGTTTTTAGTTTCCTGTGGGCCTTACACTATTGAGCTGGAGTAGTCTTAGATTGTGCATCCTTGAAAATGCATCTGTTTGAAAGTTTACTTCATTTGAAGTGGAAAATGACTTTGTCGAGGCAGAAGTTACATGGAGCCAAGAGAAGAAGCCTAGACCAGAACTTCGCCGCTTCAATGAGTTGTTTCCAGGCAAGTTGAGGATGAGGCCCTCAATGGATTCAGTTCCCTGTAAAAGGACTCACTTAGTAAGCACACCATGCAACAAAAACATGCAAATACAAACCGAAGGCATAACTCTTACAGTTTTTTCTCTCAATACATGTAAGGCATCCTTATGATCCCACAGTCTGCTGCGTTCCCCTGGCTTCTTTGGTGATTCTTGATGTACTATTTCTCTTCCCATGTCTCGAAGCAACTTATGCATTGTCAGCTCATTTCCTATATTGACCGTTAAGACATCTTTTAATGAGATTGTCGATCCCAACTTTTGTGTGGTACATATAACAATCTAACATTGTAATTACAAAATATTGGTTCTTTCAGACGACGAAAAAAAAAAAAAAAAAAAAGACAAAAGAAAAAGAGAGAGAGAGAGAGAGAGAGAGAGCAATGCCAAGGAATAATTGTTTGTCGTGGTCATATTCTAAAGAATCAAAATTAATTGAGCTTTTTTATGATCTGACTATTAGAAATTACTTCCAATTTTTTTATTGCACTTTCCCACACATCTAAACTTCTCCTAGATAGATAAGAACCCAAAACCTGAATAGCTAAAAGAAGCCCTCCGCAATACTTCACAACCCTTTCTAAGTGCTCCATGTAAACTTCAATGGGACGATCTTGTTCAAAGGCATGCCAACTGAAGAGCTGTAAAAATTAACCATTGGTTAATTCTTAACTTCATGCATCTTGTACAGTTCATCTGCCTTTAGCAATTTTGTTCATTTGTAGTTGTTATGACAACTTGACTTCTCTTGTGAAACCAACCTAGCTCCAAATACTCTGCATGGATGACTACATTGGAATTGAACCTCCAAGATTAACTAAAACAGACCAGCATCTAAATAAGGATAAATTTTTCTTAAAAAGAAAGAATCTCACATCCACATAACAAACATTTTGCCCTTCAATGCAGCTGGTCATCTTTTCAAGCTCAGGTAATACAAGTCATAAATGAACCAATGAACAAGACTGTTTTAAAGCCTCATACAGGAATTCTCTAGCGATTTTGCATGCTTTATCAAATATTGTACGAGTCCAATTTCAGATTCGTCTTTTGTAATCTCAATTTTTGCTGTCTTCAAAAAAAGTAGAAATTCAAGATCTTGAGATTCATCTGTGGAATGAAAATGACCCACATAGGGAACCACACCATCTGGCAATCCCCTGGTAGCATTTGTCTTCATACACTCTCATAGCCGTTCATTAAAATTATGTTCCTAATGTACACCACAGACGATGCTCACACATACAATTAAGGGCCATAATCCTTTGTTTCATGCTTAAATAGGCTTTACTCTAATGAAAATATTAGCACTAGTTCAGACATATCTCAGTAATTTTGAAGTCAAACTCCATTTCTAATGAAAGACAATGAAATCATCTTGTTGATTTCATAGATGTTCTGTTCTCCATTCTCCTTGTGCATAGACACACACACAAACACACATACAGACACACACACTAAAACCAATACTGTAGAAATTGTAAGCTCATAAAAGCATTTCATGAAAATTTTATTAAAAATTCAATAAACATTCGTAATGCTCTAATACATTTTCATCAGTCCATCCACATATTTGCATAATAGAACTCGTTTCCGTCTAGCCAAACACCACTTAAACTAAAAATTAATATAATTATAAAAGCTAATGCACTACTGTATATACAAACATCAATGCCTAATTAAAGCATGAAATCCAATAAAAACAAATAATGAAAATAAAAAACCTAGGGTTCGCAGTCTGATTTAGGAGAAATAGTGATGAGTGAAGAAGTGAGGAACTGTGAAATTTACCTGCGAGTGGACAAAAATGGAGATAAAGGCGATGATTGTTGGCCTGTTTTGGCGAATTAGATGTCGATTTGGCTCCCAAATCAAATAACAGAACATATGCTCAAATAGTACAACCGGGACTGTGTTCGCAGTACAATTTTGGTAGATCAAGCTCTCCATTGAAGAGCGAGGAGAGACCAGTCTGAGTCGAGCTAGAGAGTGAAAGGAGTGGGGGTAGATAGAGAAAGCGAGGAGCGATGAGAGAGGGTCTGAGCCAAGCTAGAGAGAGAAAGAGGATCGGGGGTAGAGAGAGAAAGTGAGGAGCCATGGGAAATTGGAAAATAAAAAATGAAAAAAAGGAAAAATAAAAAATGAATAATAAAAATGAAAAATGTGCCTACAACAATAATGTGAATAATGGAAAGTAAAAATAAAAAATGGGCCTGTGCTGTTACAGCAACCAAGTGCAGCACTTACTAAAAATGCTGTTAGAAACCCATCAATAGCAGCATCTTTATTTTTTGCTGCTAGACCCGTCTTTTCTTGTAGTGCTCTCGTTATGACTACTGCAGTTAATTGTTCTAGTTGATTCATATCATCAAGAAAAGACGGGAAATAAGGAAATTTTTATTTATTTTTAGATACACATGGTTTATTATTTTAATTATAAATTTTTTATTAATTTGCGATGATTAATGAATTTATGATGTCAGAATTATTGATTAATTATATTTAATTAATTTATTTCTTCCATAGTTATTGTGGTAATATCAATTTATATAAAATGAATTTTTATTATTATTTCTATCATTTTTATTTATTTTATTATTTATTACATTTTAATACGAAACAAAAATGAATAAATAATTTGTATATATATAATCGAATTTTTTGTTCTGAATTTTTAATTCATCAGTCGGATTTTTATAATGAATTTTTTTTTAAAAAAAATCGAATTATACTATTACGTTTTCGAATCCATTTTTTTTCCGTACCATAGATTTTACTAACTATGAATGACAGTGGTAAAATATTGCGTAGTTTAATAGTATTTCTTTTACTTCCAAATTGAAAATGGTACAAATTCCTTGCCCATGAAATAAATAAATAAAATTTTATGAAAATTGGGGTCCACTAATCAACCACTATAGATTAAGAAAAAGCCAACCACTTATCACATGTTCACAACAATTCATTATTTCAATTTTAGCTCCAAAAGTTCATGCTGCAGAAAAATTCCCACCTCCCATACCGAACTCTGTCACAAACCATTACCACCGCCTCCATCAACCAACTCCGTGACATTTGTCGCACACCAATTACCCAAACAAATGCATTAATGATAATTACAAAAATGATACTACCACGTGAACCAGACATGAAATTGTGGGAACCCAATATAGGTATATATAAACCACATGCTCTTCCGATGAATTGCTTCCATAAACTCAACGTTGATTGCCCTCTCATGTGCGCAGTTTCATCTGGTTTGAGCATATACTTGTTGGAGAATAAGCTTGATAAATTTGAATTCGTATTATAAATTAGAGGTGGAAACAATTTTTTTTTCGTTCCCAATCTCTTATTATAACATCACTTTAATGGTTTGTAATTTTTAATTTTATTTTTTACTTTAAAAAAAAAAAAAATCTAAAATGACAACCATTTTAAAGAAAAACAATTTTCTTAAATTCAGGGATATTTTTGTTATTATAAGATCACCTTTATCGTGTGTGTGATTTTATTAAATTTTATTTTTTAAGAATCTAAAATGAAAAGTCATTCCAAGTTGGGAGACAAATATCCACCTAAGTACTTGTATATAGCACTTCTTCCTTTTTCCGCTCACACAATATGAGATTGTACACATGTAACTCATCTAATATGATAACTTGTCAGTGCCTCTTGTACCCGTCATGACAAACCTTGCTACAATCACTCCTTAAGGGCACGACATCCCCATTAGCCACACTTTTCAGTTGGGTCAAGCTCTGATACCATATGTAACGACCCACTTTATCAGTGCATCTTGCACTCGCCCACAAGGTCGCCACGGCTACCACACTGGGCGAGTTACAGGTGCACAGTTCCACATCGTCTGGGTACGGGAAATATGAAGTGTTTTATATGTGGTATTGTTATCTCCATGGTATGAGGCATTTTGAGGTAAAATTTAACAGCAAAACCATGCTAACTCGGACCCAAAGCGAACAATATCATACCATGTGGTGAAGTATGTCATTACGTGATTAATTAAATTATTTTTTGATTCCGGCGAAGACCAAAAAATTAAAAATTAAAAAGAAAGAGGGGAGATCAATCATATCGAAAAGGATTGTGGTGTAATTTGTAAAAGAATAATCATTAACTTTTGAAATTAAGGTTATAAAATATTATTTTCTTTTAAATGAAAATATAAATTAGATACGATGATTGTGAATATCACCTCTCCCAAAATGGTTGAAAAAAAAAAAAAAAAAAAACAAGTTCTAAGGAATTGATTCTACACAAAGATTTACAGGGATTTCCAACTATGGAATACAAGCTCACTAATCTGTTGGGTCAACGGGACAAGTCCCCGTTGCTTGATCCCTCGTCTTACCTTTTGAGGAAGCGAGTGAAGAGGTGTTTCTGCCATTTCTTGCTGTAAATTCTTCAGAAGGTTCTTCGGGAAGATCCACGAGAAGGAGGGGAGATCAATCATATCGAAAAGGATTATGGTGTAATTTGTAAAAGAATAATCATTAACTTTTGAAATTAAGGTTATAAAATATTATTTTCTTTTAAATGAAAATATAAATTAGAAACGATGATTGTGGATATCACCTCTCCCAAAATGGTTGGAAAAAAAAAATAACAACAACAACAACTTTCCTATATATATCGCAAGCTGCCTCCGCCTATTTCCATTTTGCCCTCTCAGCTATTGAAAATGGTGTATCTTGCAAAAACTACTTCTACAAAATTTTCCATTCAATTTATTTAATAATTATTTGTCACAAAGAATATCACTTGTTTATTTCCATTTTGTCATATATATATTTATATATAATGTAGCCAAAATGAGCATGATGGGGAACGCTAAGGGTGACCAAAAGAGTCGTTACGGTGCAACCATTTTAATTCAAGGTATAATCATATTCAATTTTGACTCGATATGAACCAGAAGAGGAGGATTTGTTTTCCAAAAAAATAATCGTTGAAATATATAAATATTTTTATACAATTGTGGAGCAAAATCTTCCACCAATCACAGTGACTCCTTACCATGCTTATATATACCATGCTTATATATATAAGCATATACATATATGAATAATAGAAATGTAGCTCTTAGAGGCTCTTTGTCCATAGATGTAGGTCTTACTACCAAATAAATCTTTGTGCTTTTCATCTTCCGCTTATTCTTGATTTGCATTTTATTTTTGCAAATCCAAATTTAATATGGTATCAGAGTCTAACTGTTCTTGTGTTCTTGGTTTTATTATCATGGAGCATATTCTTTATATCTTCACATTCCTTTCCCGGCGTAGTTCGGTATAGTTCCGGTCCTTTTTCATATGGTTCAATACCTTGGCGTTCCCCGATGTAGTTCTGGCCCATTTCTCAGGTTAGTTCCGACCATTTCTTGGCGTTGTTCCGGTCATCTCCATTTCCCAGCATTGTTCTGACTTTCCCGACTTAGTTTCAGCCATTTCCTGGCTTAGTTTTGACCATTTTCCCCGGCAAGTTCCAGTTTATTTTTCCTGGCAAGATCTAGTCATTTTCCCAGCCCTGGCTTTGTTCTAGATACCTTCTCATAATCTTTCGAGACATTTCTTTGATATAGGACATTCATGATATTCATACTCCAACTTGAGGGGGAGTGCTGAAATACATAAATATTTTTATGTAATCGTAAAGCAAAATCCTACACCAATCATGGTGATCCGGTCAATTTTCTTCAAACTACTGATATTTCTATATAATGATGGAGTAAAATTGCACACCAATTAGGGTGCCTCCTTTGACTTTTTTACACCTTCCCTATTCTCTAATATTTACCATGCCTATATAAAGGCTCTTTGTACTCAAACAATATACACATCTGAATAATAGAAATATAGCCCTTAGAGACTCTTTGTCTATGTAGGCATTAGTGCCGAACTATGTAAATCTTTGTATTTCCACTTATTCTAGACCACCAAGAGATCAACGCGCAAAGAATTCCTCCCCGGTAAGAAAGCATCTTCTTGCTTCTTATGCCTCATGTAGCTTTATCGGTGTAGCATCTTCTTTTCTTCGTATCGTTGCACAAGGCATGTCATAAGATTCGGCTTGTTGATTTCATTCCTTATATAAACAGGGGCGGCTCGGGCCTAAGGCGGCCGCCTAAGGCCCCAAAATATTATAGTTGCCTTGTATATGATATATTGTAATTATTTCCTTATTGAAAAAAATTATTGCCTGAAATAACTCCTTTTTTTTTTTCTTTTTCTTTTTTTCTTTTCTCCTTATCATCATTTAGGCCTTTTCATCAAACTTTAACCAAGAGAGAAATTATTAATCTCCTAAAATATCTCATTTTTTTTCTATTTATCTCATAAAATATCTCATTAATATTTTATTTCTTAGTCTATCTTATATACGATTTTTTTTTTTTTTTTTTTTTTTTTTAACACCAGCACTATATATATTTAATATTTTTTCGGTAAGTTGCACTACAATAAATATAAATATTTAGCCATTATATTGGGAAGCGAAGAAACTTTCCATATTCTATTTTTCTAGATTTTTATTTTATTTAATTATTTATTCTTATTCCTATTCCTAATCCTCACGTTCATTCTGATTTCTCTCAACTCTCAGCAAACTCAACAAGTTACAAGTCATGTCCCTTCTTAGTCCTCTCTCATTACAACTTTATAATTTTCTTTCTCTCGATTCAATATTCATTAGTCTCAAATCTCAATTTGAATACTTTTATTTTATCAAAGAATTTGCAGCAGCATTGAATTAGGGCTTTCTAAATCAGGTTATATTGTTCTTTTTTTATTTTTACCCACATTTAACTTAAAAAAATAGAGAAGAATAGATAAACTAATTCAATTTCAAAAGGAAGCTATTGATAAATTTGTTACAACTAATAATTAAAACCTAACAAAAAATTTAGGTGAAAGTTCAGCAAATGAACAATCAAATCATCTAAAAGAATTAGAAAATTATATAATTGTGAAAGAAAAAAAAATACCAGTGACTTAATTTACAATAACAATCAAGAACAATAAAAAGAATTGGAAGAAAGTTAAACAAGTAATCGAAAATCATATTCTAAATTTAACCACACTTGAATATAAGAATTTGATTAGTAAGTTTGCAAGTAAGAAGAATGATTTTTAATTAATTATTATTTAATAATTAATATATTACATATTAGGATATGAAAATGCCACTTTTTACTTTTCGCCTAAGGTCCCGAGTTATATCGAGCCACCCCGGATATAAATCAGAAACCTTAAAATTTTCAAATTACTTTAAGGTTCTCCATAAGGATACACTCCTCCAACAATTAGGTAAGTAATTTATTGTTCCTGTGAACATGTATTGTATTGTCCATTGTCCTAATTCTTTAAAATCATTCTTTGTCAAAATGCCTCTACATATGAGTATGGGCAAAATAGAGTGTGTATAGTTTTTAAGTAGAGAAAATTATCAAGTAACTTTCAAAAAAAAAAAAATATGGTTGGACTTCTTCTTTAAAATTGAATTATATAAGATGTATTGGACAAATGATTTTGTAATGAAATATTCATATCAAGTCATGAAATTAATGCATTAAAATTGAAATTAGAAAAAAAATAATTTAAAGTACCTCCAAACATTGTCAATTAATTTTGATGCGAACATTTCATTGTTAATTACAAGAACTCAATCTCAAGCCTCATGGTTATTAGAATCCCTCTGGAAAATCTCATGTCAAAATTTACAACTTTTAACGGCCTATATTGAGCCAAAAAAGATAGGGTTTTTTTATTTTTTTTATTTAAAAAGAAAACACTAAAAGTACATTGAAATCAACCAGTTAGATATTCATATGAATTTACAATTGATATGAATCTTCTTTTTCATCTACTTAAAAGTACATTGAAAGAAGTTCAAAGCATGCCTTTAAACCCTAATCTCAGTTTTAGCTCGAGTTATTTCAGGAAAAATATCTAACTAGTTCAAGACCTTTACAAATTAAATTTTATCCAAAACAATGAATCCATTCAAGTCGATTACAGACTACCATACAAGAAGTAGTTGAAAGTTGTAACAACTTGCTCAAAAGTCATGTTTTCAGCCTCATGCCACAAACATTTTCATATACTAAAGGTTAGTGTCATCTAGTTCTGACCCAATACAACCCTCTGGTTCAAGCTTGGTACTAGCATTGTAGAAACACTGTACCCTAGCAAAAACTCATATTCATGTCAGGAAAGCACCATTCAGTAGCTTCCTCCATTATCTGAACAAATTACAACGAGAATGATTTCAGAAACATGAGGAGTACACGACTGGAACAGAAACACACTGGAAATGAAAAAAGAACATAAATAAATAAAGTTAAAAATTCGTAGTTTATACATGACTTGAACACGACACAGTGTATGAAATTATATGGGAAAAAAATGAAAGGAACACAAATATGCATTCAAAGAACATGCTAGCAGCCTAAAAATTTGTTTCAATGGATAAAATATGAGACCATAATCCACCACTGCATTTTCAAGAAATCGTTTCTGTATCCTAATGGAGAAAACATTACTGAGGTTTGTAAGCATCTCTAGTGAAATCTTAAGAAACTTGGCAGACAATACAACTGCTTTGGAGCACTATACAGCAACCAACAAAAAGAATATAGAATCCCAACTAATGACAAATGCAACTAGAACTAAAAGAAAAAATATATGCATAGAAATGCAGACCAAACCTTCTGAAAATTTGGCCATGTTGAAGCTTATCTTGCTAAAACTCGAACTTTCTAATGAAGAAAAACAGTATCTTCTGTATGACGCATAAAGGGGCTTATACTTTATTACTTATATAATATTAGGTGCTTATGTGTAATTTCTAAAACTTGTTAGTACAAAAAAATATATATGTGGTGGAAGGATGCAAGTATTTTTCCATTCTCCCTCTCTTTCCCGTCTCTCTCTCTCTCTTTTCTCTCCTCATCTTCTTTCTCAACTATCTTCTTCTACTTTACTATTGTTTGATAAACACATAAATCCCAAAATGTGTCTTCTCTGAATTCTCTTCTCAGACTTTTTTTTTTTTGTTTTCCATATAATTAACCTCATTACCATCTATCCTTAAAATGCCTTAATTTTTACCATCGAATTGCTTTGACGATTCGTTTTTGGTTCTGATTAGTGGCTCCATGTACACACTTCTTCGGGGCAAATAAGCTCTACCATAATTGCACCAACTTTCTTGCTCTATACCTTCTTTTCAAAGCATCAAAAAATAACCTAATCCCTGGAAGGCGAACTAAGAAGCTAAACCTTAACAATAACCCATGCGGACCTGGCCTCACTCTCTTTCTCTCTCTCCTTTTCTTCCTTTTTTCCCCCAGATGTCACCGCGGTTGAACCCAGTAGCTGGATTCAAAGTCCAGAGAGCTAATCACCACACGTTGAGGCAATGAGTAAAAATAGTGTAGAAAACCATTCAGAATTACTGCTTCTGGGACAATTCAAAGCATGCATTGGTTTGAATGGAAACTCGATGCACATTATAGAGCTATGATATCAATGGCCAATGGTATTCAATTAAGAATTGAAGTAAATCACTTAACGACATTCTATGGAAACACTTTAGTGGCAAAGTTGCAGTAAGCAAAGAATAGATGAAAGCAAAGCTCAACTAACATGCTTAAAGTGCCTACAAAGTCAAACTTAGATCATAACCAAGATTACTGAAATTCAGATTCCAAAAGCAATAATTCACAATTTAAAAAACATATAAAACAATTGATAAACTAGTTTAGATGTGAATTGCTCATTGTTTACCCCTTCAACTCCAAATGCAATTGTAACTTCTGTCCAAATACATCAGGGATTGGAAAGTAGAGCCAGCTGCTCATCAGACACTTTAACTTCAACACATGCTCCTACTGATGCAGCAAGTCTTGCTGCTAACTGATGCTTACACTGCAAAGACAAAGAAACAGAAGAGAGAGTATACGAATCGTGAGAAATTGTGCCCAAAAAAATTTATAGACAAGCATGAATGTAAAACTCACACAAAGCTTTTATCATGACTGTCCTGAAAATGTACCTCCGTAACTTTTTGTGAATTTCAATAAATAAATAAATAATTCACAAATTAAATAGTTAAAAATCTCTATTCGAAAATTTTGTTATGAATTCTTCAGTTTAACTAACTCAACTCAAAAAATATAAAGGTCAGTTTTTTCTTTTTTCTCGAAAACTTCCCTTACTTTATATTGTGACTACACTGTTTATAAGAACTTTTACTAATTAAAGCATTTTTCATTACATTTGGTAGTAACATATTACAAACAAGATGAAAATATGAATATCGATTATTAGCACATTACACTTGGAAGTAACATATTACAAACAAGATGAAAATATGGACATCAATTATTAGCACATTACAGTTGGCAGTCACATATTAGATGAAAATCTGACTCACAAAGATCCTAGGATTTGGTTGAACATCAATTATTAGCATGTAATTCACAGTGTACTATATGATTTCTCTGGGCTGTGTACTCCAAGCAAATGCTAGCTCATTACCATAATTCACATATTAATAATTTCTGTGGCAATGGATGTGCCTACCCAGCAGCAGTTTCAACCTCTGAAATGCTGTGTAGAAAGCCATTATGGTATGCTGTGGAGTTGGAAAAGTCGGCAAAGTCTGAGATGAGTGAAGAGTACATAAGGTCAGTGGCAGACCTTATGGTGATCAAGGGACGACCCTTGTATATGGTGGCTAGGAATTATATGATATCGGATACAACACGACAAGGGTTTGATAAGCTTGATTTTGGATGGGGAAATCCGGTATATGGTGGCCCTGCCAGAGCCCTTTCTTTGCTTAGCTTCTATGTGCCATTCAAGAAACCGTACTCTAGAGAAGATGAGAATGGGATTGTGGTACCAATATGCTTGCCACAACCAGTCATGGAGAGGTTCCAACATGAGCTTCAGAATAGGACTCGGGAGTGTGTGGAAGATTCATATGATATAAAGCCCATTAACATTCAATCCATGCTCTGAGTTGAAGTACTCAAATCTTTAGACGGAATAAAATGCATGGTTACAACTTACTAGAAATACAGCAATTAATAATGAACGAAAATTAGATAATGCATAAGGAACGAAAATTGAACTAGCTTATGTGTCAGATTGGCCTCAATTATTTTATGAAATAAGAAAGAAAATCTTTCATGAAAGAAAATAGAAACCAATGCTGTATGATTTATTTTGTAGATTATTATATATCAAGATGTTTTACTCATTGTGTTTTACTCAAGATAGTTTTTCCTTCCATGACCATAACATTGTCTGGTGCTCTCAAATCAACATGAAACATTGTCTAGTATTGTCAAATTCTAGTACTGTCAAATCAACATGAGGTATTATTATTGGCACGTTTATATGTTATGTGGTGTCAATTGCATAGCAGAAGATGATGGACAAATAAATCTGATCCTCTTTCTTGCTCTAAACCTTCTTTTCAAAGCAGTCACAGAATAGACTAATCCCTGGAAGGCAGAACTAAGCAGCAAAGCCTTAACGGTAACTAATGAGGAGCTAGCCTGACTCTCTCGCTCCTCCTTTTCTTCCATTTTTTTCTTTCCCAGTAATAACAAAAGTTGCAAATTTCATCGTGGTTGAATCCAGGTAATCAACTGGATCTCAAATCCAGAGTGCTCGAGGCAAGGTGTAAAAATCGCTTATTAAACCTTTCAGAATACCAAGACTGTAGCGTAGTGGCACTTCCCCACTTTTCAACATGGATTGTGAAGAATTCAAGTCCCCATAGAGGCAAGTGGGTATATGTTTGTCACCTCCACATCATTACTTGCTCATACTTTTTATTGGGTCAAGTCAATAGATCTAAGAACTTGAGTATCATCATCATATAATCGACGCTAGACGGATTAGGAAATTGATGGAAGGAAGGAAACAGAGGAAGCACATATCTAAATAAAATTAGAAATAGGTCAATACAAAAATATGTACAAGGCCTGTTCCATATTTCACACACCAAGAAAAATTTCAGAAACAGGGTGGTACCTGTTCCACGCACTAATGAATACAGTTTTCCTTCTATCTACTACATAAGCAATAGCAGGATGGTCACTTAAAGGCAGTAGCTTCCTCCATTATCTGAAGCAAATTACAATGAGGAATAATTTGAGAAACAGAAAAAAATGTGAAACCATAATCCAAAAAAATTTCAAGAAATCGTTTCTGAATCCTAATGGAAAAAACTGACTGAGGGTTGTAAGCATCTCCAGTGAAATCTTAAGAAACTTGGCAGACAATACAACGGCTTTGGCGCACTATGCTGCTAGCAACACTGAAAAATATAGAATCTCAAGTTCTCAACTAATGACCAGTGCAACTAGCAGTAAAAGAAGAAGAAATATATGGATAGAAATGCAGACCAAAGCTTACTGATTTTTAACATGGTGCAGATTATCTTGCTTTAAATTGAACTTTCTTACGAAGAAAAACATTATCTTGTGTATCATGCATAAATCCTACACGACGTCATCTCTGAATTATCTTCCAAGTCTTTTTTTTTTCTTCCATCATTAACCTCATTATCACCGTCTTAATATACCTTAATTTTTTCCATCCAGTTGCTTTGAAGGTTCTTGTGTTTGTTCTGATTAGTGGCTCCATTTTATGAAAAACACATCTTCAGGTTAGTGATTTGAATATTTTAAAGAGTCATTTAGTCCTACAATGTTTCCCCAATAACAAAGGCCTCCCACTCTCCCTGCAACTGCGAATCTCAGACTCAAGTAACAAACTCTGAAGACAATGAAACAGCTAAACAACTTCTCTAGTCATTCTTCTTGTGTAGACTAAAAAGTTAGGTAGCAAATAACCTCTACCATAATTGCACCAACTTTCCTGCTCTGTACCATTTTTTCAAAGCAGTCAAAGAATAACCTAATCCCAGGAAGGCAGAACTAAACATAATTGCACCAACTCTCTTGCCCTAGACCTTACAAATCAATCAAAGAATAACCTAATCCCAGGAAGACAGAACTAAGCAGCTATGCCTTAACGATAACCAATGAGGAGCTAGCCTTTATCACTCTCTCACACACACCCCCTATAAAGATGTCACTGTGGTTCAAACGAGGTAGTTGGATTCAAAGTCCAGAGTGCTTACCACCACACATTGAGGCAAGGTGCAAAAAGAGCACTGTAAACCTTTCAGAATTATTGCTTTTGGAACAACTCAAAGTGATCTCGACGGCCAGTAGTATCTTTAATTAAAAAAATTGAACTGACACACACAATCTAGCAAGATTGTTGAAATCCTTTTATGTAAACTCTTTAGCTAAGCAAAGAATAGATGAATGCAAAGCTTAACTACCATGCTTAAAGGGCCTAAAAAAGTATAACTTTGAGCATAACCAAGAGCACTGAATTTCAGATTCCAAAAGCAGTAATTCACAAAGTTAAAAAACATGTAAAACAATTGATAAACCAGTTTAGTAGCCCTTCAACTTCAAATGCAAATGCACCTTCTGTCCAAATACCTCAGAGATTTGAAAGCAGTAAAGTTAGCTCCTCGTCAGACACCTTAACATCAACACACGCTCCTACTGATGCAGCAAGTCTTGCTGCTAATTGATGCTTACACCGCAAAGAAAAACAGTAGAGATAGAATATAAGAATCATGAAAGGTTGTGCCAAAAAAATTTATGGAGAAGCATGCATGCAAAACTCTCACAAAACTGTTCTACTCTGATTACAATGTCGTAGAAGAATGGAAAACAAGAATAGTGCTCGGCGAAGCAGATATATTCCTCCATCCTCACTCTCCCACAACCTAACGAACATAATATAAATCATAACCCAGTATTACTTTACCTTTTTCTTGCAAGAAAAAACAAAAAATGGAATTTAATAGCAAAGTTCTGAACCATTTGTCTATCAAGGTTAATTAATAGAAGTCAAACACAAATTTCTGCATCAATTGTCCATACAAAGTAAATTAATAGAAGTTAAAAAGCAATTACAAAGTGTTTCATATTTTCAAATTATGAGAGTAATTCAAATTCCCTAACCTGAATCTGATTTGGCAGCAACTACTGACATACCCTCAGCAACAAAATGTCTTTATTAAAACCAAATATATCTGATAATTGCTCAACAAGTAATTTTACAACACAAGCCGTTGTAAAATTCACAAAAAAAAACTTGATACAACAAGTAATTTTACAACGTTGTAAAGTTCACAAAAAAAAAAAACTTGATACAACAAGTAATTTTACAACACAAGCCGTTGTAAAATTCACAAGAAAAAACTTGATATTTCAAAATTTCATTGTTCCCTTTGTTCTACTTTCTAATGTTCTCCCTCCCCTCGGTTCCAAAACAATACTACGAGGAACATGCGAATTGGTGGGAAGTTCAAGCGTAGGGTCAGTTGGAACCTCCCTAACCTCTGGGAGGTAAATCTCCATAGGCATCACACCCTTTCATCCTCGGTTTCATGCTCAGTAGTGGTAGGACTCTCGCTACTATCCACCATAGATTCATCACGAGTAAGGCCAGGTGGCGACTGTCCTGCCTATCTATAAAATTTCAAATAAAAAAGAAAAAAAAAAAAAACAACTTAAATAAGCTCAATAGAAAAGGAAAACAAATTACAGCGAAGCAAAAAACGAACTAATCAATTGATAAAAGTGACAAATGTTGTGATTATCTACTCACATTTAAAGTAAAAACAAAGCTATATACTATTAAAATGAGACATTCTTTTTAATTGATGAAGAAATCAATTGATAAACAATATAGCACTACTAGAACAAGTAAAATAAGTTGAAATAATTTACCTTCTTTTTTTTTCCGATTCCACTCATTTCACTTGGTCTTTTATTTCTTTTCCAAAATTTAAACCTGAATCATTAAAATTGAGGCACGCAACATATTAGAAACTTGATGTTGAAATGTGAATATTTTATTTCATAATTTATGCTAGACTAAAATAAGAACAGTAATATACTACTAAATAAACAAGATGCAAGATGCACACAGATTTGTTGTACCAAGATTTAGGCCAGAAATTTAATTTCAAAGATGCAGATAATACAAGATTCATAGATTTGTAACAAAAAATAAAACCGACTTAGATTCAAATGAAAGACAACTATGAAGAAGGAGATATACTTTTGTCGTCGCATGGTCCGATTTCACTCCAAATCCGGACCATCTTCCTAACGGAATCTCACAGCTTTCTTTGGCTTGCTGGTGAATGGTGAGAGAGACAGAACCGTTGAGATCTGGGACCGGACCCTTTCACAGTTCGGTTCCAAGGAACCGTTGACTGTCTGTCTGAGAACTTCGCCAATCTGAACACCCCTCTTCCTTTCCGAAAAAAAAAAAACAAGAATTCACAAACTCAAGAATTACAGATAGTACACAAAATCATTTTTATATGAAAGGTCATTCGCCAAAAAAAAAAAAAAAACAGAAATATATGGGTTTTGAGCTTTTGATTACAGACCTTTATATATATATATATATATATACAAAATCAAGAATTACAGACCTTGATTAGTTGATTTAGAAAAAAAATTAAAACAAAACCCATACATACAAGTGAGCAGTTGCACAGAGAGAGGGGGGCAAGCTTGAGAGTTGAGAGACAGCGGCTGAAGCTTGCGAACGGCGAACCCGAACTGGAACAGCGGGCGATGGAAACTGAAAGATATGGTTTTTGATTTTTTGAACAATCTTGAAATGATATGCCGATATGGGTTTTGAACTTTTGATTCTTGCAGACAGATCTGAAATATATGGTTTTGAACTTCTGATCCTTGTAGATTTTGTAGAGCTGAAATATATGGGTTTTGAACTTCTGATTCTTGTAAATTTTTTAGTTTGCAGTTGCAGAGAGACAGACAGAGAGAGAGAGAGGGCTGGTTCAGAGTCGAGAACGAGAATACAGATGGAGGCGCTTGGAGTTGGGGAGGCTGAAATGATTTGCCCAAAAAATATTTTGTTTTAAAGCTTTAGAATTTAAAGTTACTAATATTAATAATATAATCAAATATATATAATATATATATTACGGTAATATTCTGGTGAGTTCTGGGCTTGAAGCCCATACATCCAAAGTTCTTTCAAGTCTTCAGCCCATTCTTCAATCACCTCTGGGCCCCTCGCACTTAGATGAAAATATCTACTACAATGAAAGTCTTAGTCCATCTTTTTCATCTGGGCACGACCCATGCCAGCGTTTTGACCCAGGAGTTGGGGCCCAAAGTGGGCCACTTAATTATCCCTCTTTAATATTCCAAAGCTCAGCCCAACCGTTGAGGGCCAGTCAAATTTCTCCATCCACATCGCCTCTTTCTCATACGCTTCAGAAGACGTATTATCAATCCCGTTTTTGGAAAAAGCAAGCTAGGGCTCCGTCCACACTAACTTCGGAAGATCATCAACATATTTAGTACTTGGTAAAAATATTGGTTAAGGCGAACATACCACATCATACCAATAAGAATCCCACCATTCAATCAAACCAGTCTCGCATTTAACAAAAACTTAATCTCTACAAATTGATTTGTTAAATTTTTATTGGGTCATTTTAATGACATGGTATTCCGGTTCACCTTAAAAATACTCCAATTCAACAAAGTTGTATTTAGATTCTAACACATTCAGTGCAACAAAGTTAAATCTCTTTCAACATATTATTTTGTGTGTTAAAAATGGGGAGTAAAAATAAATATAAGTGTGTTAAAAAGCACCACAACAACACGTTACATGACCAAAATGCTACAACACCTTACAGGACCAAAACGCTAGAAGATCTGAACTCCCCTACAAAGGTATGGACGGTTAGTATATATCCATGACTAACACAATACAATACAAAATTTCAGTTGCCGATAGGTTGAGACAGAGAGAATGAAATATGAGGAAATCAAAGTGGTTCTTTTTTGTAGATCACGAAAACTTCACGTGATGGACACGCGCGCAGCGCGCGTATTGGGCGCCTTCTTTGGCCGTGATGACTCCGTTTTTGTTTTGAGCCTTATTTCTTCATCCGAATTCCGAATCAAGTGATTCTTGAGTCTAATTTTATTTTTATTTTTGTCGTCTATCCAACAGTGTGCTCGGTGGCACCTTAATCTTTTGGAAATGACCATTTTGCTCATAGGGCTAAACTTGTCTATTTTTAAAACGTCACTTCCGCATTTGTTTTCCTTTTGGTTCCCGTGACTCATGGGAGGTCATTTTAGCTTTTCTAAGATCCACGTTAGCAATTTCAAGAGCCACGTCACCAACTTTCGCTCAAACATGCACTCCATCAGGTTTTCCGAATTCTTGCATTCCAAAATAAATAAATTAATTAAAATTAATTAAATTTGAAAACTAAAAATAATGAATTGGAATAAGAAAATAAGGATTACAAAATCTTGGAAATAGTTGTCACTTTTATCAATTGATGAGCGGAGTTATAGGTTGTCATGATTGTCGAGAGGGTCTCTAGGTGGGGTATAGTGGTTAGTTTTAGTGGGTAGTGTAGGATTGCACGATAAGGCAGGTAATATAGGGTTATTGTAGTACTGGGTCATTTGTGGACGAAGTGATAGAGAATAGGTACTGTGTATCAAATGGATTGTGTTTTAGAATTTGAAAGTCGTGGACTGGAGTTGTAATTTGGTTGTGTCTGGAGCATCAAGAAGTGGTATTTGTTGTTGAGAATCCACGGAGATAGACTATCAATTTGAAATGATTGGGACGAGGGTGATCCCTTAGGTTTAGTTGGTAGCTCCATTTGAATTTTGTCAATCCAAGGAGATATACTATCAATTTGAAATGATTGGGACGAGAGTGATCCCTTAGGTTTAGCTGGTAGCCCCATTTGACTTTTGTCGGGGCCAAGGTAGTTATGAGGAACGGTATGTTGAACCTAGGGCGTGAAGTTTTCTTGTTTAGGCATGTAAATTGCCTTAGGAAGAGTGGTTTGAGTAACCGGTTAAGCACTAGTGACTGATTGTGTTGTTGATGGTCTTGAGGAGACAGTTGGGTGTTGAATATTCTGGAGTTTGTGCTCACTTTTCTTTTGAGATTTGTCGGCATGGCGTTGCCGTATAGAGCTTCTTTTCAGGTCATAAGTAGTGGTTGATGTATAGAGTATCGAGAGTGGGGCATACTCTTTTGTTATGATAGTGTCATCCTAGGGATACTTGAGGGGAGACTGCTTGGCGGCAGCTGGTTGAGTTGGTGGGACGTGAGTTAAAGTTGTCATTCGAGGATGATGGTAGTAGAGGTGTTATGGCAGGATGTTTTGCACTATGAACATAATGGTTTAAGGTATGATTCGAGGGTGGATTAGATGGTATGAGTTATTTGTTGTGTGTTGATAGGTGGGTGATGGGATTGTGTGCAAAAATAATAATAATAATAATAATAATAATAATAATAATAAATAAATAAATAAATAAACTATCGAGCTTGGCTCGAGACTTGTCGAACATAACCGAGCCAAGCTTGAACCAAATTTTCTCAGTTCGACTCAAGCTCGAGCCAAGCTTGGACATTCTATCACTTGACCGAGCTCGAGCACACTATTATTCGGCTCGGCTGGCTTGCAATCCAAAATATACCCAAGTCAATAAATGACTTGACCCTTTTAATTTAAGCAGGTTAAAAAAAAAAAAAAATGATTTGTGTGGTGTTGCAAGTACACAATCTGTTTATTACACGAATTACTTGAGTGATGTCATGTTATTTATGTTATGTATTTGGTATTATTTGTCAAAGAAAATTGTTGGCGCTAAAAAAAAACACAAAAGTTCATGGATCAAAAACTCGACAATTGATGAATGAACATGCGAATAATATATATTATAATGTTGATGCAAAAAAAAAAGAAATAAATATTTGAAGACTTTCTGAAGGTAAAAAATTAAAAAGTTTAAAAATATGCAATTATGCATATTATAAAACGCAGTTATTTCTTTCTTTTTTCAAAATTGTAGCAATAACTATTTCCTCGCTCTCAAAATAAGGCCCCAAGCTGTCTCCTTAGTGCTATTCATTTCCTTTACAACTTCATATTATGAATAATTCAAAATTGAAAAGTCCCTTTCTTCTTGCCCTTTTTGCTGCATTTTCTCAGTAACCAAACAGGCACTAGGGTTTTGAGAAAGAATACAAGCAGTCTGGTCGCAGAGACGGTGTGGAGGGACATTTCCATGTGCCCTTACCCGTTCCAATTTTTTCCACCACTTATATTCCAAATACACCTTGTTTAGTTTATCTCTTACTGTACTCCAATTTGGAACGGAGTCAATTGCTGCACCTGATATATATCTATATATATACTGAAATGAAAATTTGAGCTGATTTGTTGTTTTATATACAGCTTACATTTTTTGTTTGGTAAAAACTTGGAGAGAGCGACTAGGATAGTGGATCAACAAGGTCTGAAGAGGATATCTGGTGAACCCAGTGGGCGTTACCTTTCCTTCCTCATTTGGTGAACATAGGTTTTAGGTTTCAGATTTTAAATGCAAAAATTCAAATTTTATTTGGCAATGAAGATTCCGGTCGGACTGAGGCTTAGCCGTTCAAAATTGGAGTTCATTTGCCTACAAATTGTGGATTTTTATTACTGAAAATAGCAAACAATTTGGAAGGTTTAAATGCTATTTAACTTGTAGTAATTTGCTTTGTATAGACATATGATTCTGAAATTTGAGTTTTGACTTCTATTAATTTGAACTTATAGACAAATGATTACGGGGTTATGATTTATATGCTCTGCTTAGGTTGTGGGAGAATCTCAGAGGAAGGAGGAATATTTCCGCTCCGCAGAACACTATTGTGCTTGTCTTTCATTTTTCTATGACATTGTGAACAGAGAACTGCTTTGAGTGAGTTTTACAAGCATGCTTGTCCAAATTTTTTTTTTTTTTGGGGGCACAATTTCTCGTGATTCTTATACTCTCTTCTGTTTCTTTGTCTTTGCAGTGTAAGCATCAATTAGCAGCAAGACTTGCTGCTTTAGTAGGAGCATTTGTCGATGTTAAGGTGTCTGAAGAAGAGCTAGCTTTACTGCTTTCCGATCTATGATGTATTTGGACAGAAGCTACATTTGCATTTGGAGTTGAAGGGGTACTAAACTGGTTTATCAATTGTTTAACATGTTTTTTTTAACTCTCTGAATTACTGCTTCTGGAATCTGTTATTCAGTACTCTTGTTTATGCTCGAAGTTTTACTTTCTAGGCACTTTAAGCATGGTAGTTGAGCTTTATATTCATCTATTCTTTGCATACTGCAACTTCGCAGTTAAAGTGGTTGCATAGAATGTTGTTAAGTGATTTTAACAGTCTTGCTTGATTGTGTGTGACTGTGTGTTTCGCTTCAATTTTTTTATTAAAGATACTATTGGCCGTCGAGATCATTGCTTTATATGGTGCATCAAGTCTCCATTCAAATGAACACATGCTTTGAGTTGTTCCAAAGGCAGTAATTCTGAAAGGTTTACTATACTATGTTTACACCTAGCCTCAATGTGTGGTGGTTAGCACTCTAGACTTTGAATCCAACTATCTGGTTTCGACCACAGTGACATCTGCATAGGGGGTGTGTGTGAGAGAGAGATAAAGGCTAGCTCCTCATTGGTTATCGTTAAGGCATAGATGCTTAGTTATGTCTTCCTGGGATTAGGTTATTCTTTGGTTGCTTTTAAACGTCTTGGGCAAGAAAGTTGGTTCAATTATGTTTTTCTGCCTTCTTGGGATTAGGTTATTCTTTGACTGCTTTGAAAAAATGGTACAGAGCAAGAAAGTTGGTGTAATTTTGGTAGAGGTTATTTGCTACCTAACTTTTTAGTCTACACAAGAAGAATGCCTAGAAAAGTTATTTCATTGTTTCATAGTCTTCAGAATTTGTTAGTTGTGTCTGAGATCCGCAGTTGCAGGGAGAGTGGGAGGCCTTTGTTATTGGGGAAACATTGTAGGACTAAATGACTCTTTAAAATATTCA